TGAGTCACTGTCGCTGGAGGCATTTAAGAGATGGGAAGGTGTTGCCTTGAAGGACGTGATTTAGTGGTATTGATAGGGCCAGGACAAAGGTTGGACTCGATCTTGAAGGTCTCTTCCAGCCAAAAATGTTCTGTGATTCTATGTACAAATCTCATAAAGGTATTGTCTTATATCGATAGGTTATTTGGTTATGGCCAGATGTTACAATATCCTTTTATTCTTTTGTTCAATAACTTTTTTCTGATACTTCAGAAAATCAGTTTTTGTAGCTAATGGCTTCTTATTTGTGTATGTCAGATTTTTCTTAAATTACTATAATTTTCTCCATTACATTTCTAACTTTTTTTTAAAAGTAAATACCATTGCTTATAGTAATAACTTAGCAGTCAAAGGTAGGCTGCTGTCTCTTAACAATGTATAAAATAATTGCTTGTTGGGTGCTCCTTTGAGCTTGACAGATTAGGAAATGCCAACATAGCAGACAGAAAAATAGTGCTTTTCAATTTTGATTTAATAGTTTTGGCATTTCTTCTTTTTTTTTTTTTAAATTCTAATTCCCATCTTTTACCTTTCTCCTGTTTGCATTCATACTACAAACCTTCTCAGAAGATGCTACCTCCCTTTTTTTAGGAGGACTCTTCAAAAAACCCAACTCCACTATCTGGAGAGGCAGAGTTGGTTATTTCACTGAATTAAGAAATATATTTCATAATATTTTAATATGAGGCATATTAAAATACTCAGGGGGATTAGTGGTTTGCATGTGGTGGAGTTTTCAATGCTGAGAAGATTTAGTATTGATTCTTGCCAGGAGGAACAGCTCAGAATAAAAAGTAGGTGAAAGAAAATGTTTTTATGAGCAGCACCTGTCTCTCTGTTCCTGTTCACTTTTGCGTAGCAGTGCATTGCTGTTAATGCCTTTGTGTATGCTGAAATACAAACCGCCTGGGTTTGGGGGGATTTTTTTTGATTTTCCACTGGCTTTTTGTTCTGCAAGTAGTTCATCCCTCTTACCTCTGGAAGCTGGAAGGCAAACTGATGTAGTAGCTCCACCGCCTTTCTGAATTTGTGAGTTTGTCATCTAATGGATTGACTTAATTTCTGGGAAGCACTTTGCAACAATGGAGTATTTTATCTTTATAACTGGGAAGACCATATGATGTAAAACTCTTTGTGTTAATTGCCTTTCCGTTGCTTAGATAGTTAAAACTGTATTGCTGCTTCTCTTTTACATCAATGAAGCAACATTTCTATGCTATAAAACATTGTTAATTGCATTGAGTTAGATCAGCACAAGAGAACCCTAAAGCTGAATAATTGGGGTTTGCTTGGAATACAAACTTTATTTACCAAGATTTTAATACTAACATTGGGTTCTGATAAACAAATTCAGCAATGCCTGCTTTTTCACAGTGTCTGAAGTAGCTTCCCTCCCTGAAATTCCATTTAGTTCAAAGGAGAAGAGGGTAATTGAATGCTTCGGGAATCTAGTTTCAGTTCTATGGATTATAGCAGCTGATATTGCCCATTTGACATTTCACCACATTGTTTATTCCTATTTATTAATGCATGGAGCTATGTCATTGATAGGGGAGGTTTTTTTAAGGGTTTTTTTTCCTCTGTTATTCGTAACACATTAATATTTTAAAGAACACGTTATCTTAAGCTTGCCCATATAAGTTTCTTTGCAGGAAAATACGTTGCTGAACTATTATAACATTAAGTCTTATAAACAGCCTTGTCCAAGGGTTTTCCTTGGGGCTTGTGGTGTTGCAAGATGTGTTGCTTTTATGGCTGCTGTGTGCCAGTGCACAGAAGTAGAATTCAGAGCTCGTGAGAATAGGAATCCAGAAACACCTGCTGGTTTTAGCTTGTGAGTAATTAAAAACGGAAAGATTATATTTTTTATTCTTGCCTCATTTTAGGAGAACAGAAGCAGGCTTTCCAGTTAAGTAATTACTGTGTATTTCTGTTGACACTACATACTAAATTTAAGAGAGATACTACTTCAAGATTAAATTAAGGATGTTTGTCACGCTTAAATTAAGAATTTTGTCATGCACATTTTGGAAGAGAACAATTTAATTGGAGTACTGATGTTTCATTTAATCTACCAAATACATCTCTCCAAAACATTAATTCAGTTGCCGAGGCGAGCAGCTCCAGTGCTGGCCCGACTGGCGGCCAGGCTCTCCCGCGAGGGTTTCCCAAACGGGGGGAGCCTCAGGGGAGAGGAGAGACCCACAGGGAGCCAGGAGCGACGGCAGGAGAGTAAAACTCTTTACTCTGTGTTTTTTCGCTCGGTCTTCATTGCCCAATTCACAAAATCCCAAGTCAGCGAATGGGAACATGAAGCACCACCCACTGTAGGACAAGATCAGGTTTGAGAGCACATGAGAAACCTGAATGTGCACAGGTCTGCAGGGCCTGATGAGACACAGCCAAAGGTTTTGCAGGAATTGCAGGTGAAATTGGAAAGTCATGGCAGACTGGTGAAGCTCCCAGTGACTGGGAATGGGGAAACAAAATCCCCATTTTTAAGAAGTGTCTTCATGTGAGAGATGCTTCTGCCCCCCTACTCTGCTCTCGTGATTCCCCACCTGCAGTTCTGTGCCCAGCTCTGGAGTCATCAGCACGAAACTATCTGGACCTGTTGGAGCGAGCCCAGAGGAGGCCACAAAGATGATACGAAGGCAGGCTGGGAGAGTTGGGGTTGTTCATCCTGGAGAAGAAGAGGCTCTGGGGACACCTTATAGCAGCCTTTCAGTGCCTGAAGGGAACTTCCAAAAAAGACAGAGACTTTTTGTCAGGGAGTACAGTGCAGTGACAGGAGGAGGGGTAATGATTTCAAACTGAAAGAGGGTAGATTTAGATTAGATATTATTAAGAAATTCTTTCCTGTGAGGCTGGTGAGGCACTGGCACGGGTTGCCCAGAGAAGCTGTGGATGCCCCTCCCTGGAAGTGCCCAAGGCCAGGCTGGATGGGGCTCTGAGCAACCTGGGCTGGCGGGAGGTGTCCCTGCCCATGGCAGTGGGGTTGGAACAAGATGATCTTTAAGGTTCTTTCCAATCCAAACCACTCTATGATTTGTATGTCTTAATGCCTAAAACATGTTGTGACTGTACTGCAGAGACTGAAAAGTTAATTACAGCAGAGTAGGTTTCGATTAGATATCAGGAAAAAGTTCTTCACTGTGAGGGTGGTGAAGCACTGGCACAGGTTGCCCAGAGAGGTGGTGGAGGCTCCATCCCTGTAGACATTCAAGGTCAGGCTGGATGAGGCTCTGAGCAACCTGATCTAGTGAGAGATGTCCCTGCTCACTGCAGGGGGGTTGGACTAGGTGACCTTTAAAGGTCCCTTGCAGCCCAACGCATTCTGTGATTCTGTGATTAGTACATGTAAAATAAAATGAGATGTGCGTGTAATGATTAAATGAGATTTTTATCTGTGTCGTAAACGGACAGATTTTTTTTCCAGACATCAAATTACACATACTCTTTTTCCTATTCTTCCAGTAGAAAGGCACAGGTTGATGGATCATTCACTGCGTTGGTAGGACATTATGTTAACTTAGGTCATGCTCAACCAGGGCAGGAGAGCCAGAGAACCTTCCTTCTGCTTTGCACAACACTTTACAAAAGCAAACAGCGTGTAATACTGCCCGCAGAACATTAAATGACTAGATATTATTGTCTGCAAACAGTTGTTTCAAGTCGTGCAGAACTGTGATTATATTTTCTGGTCATAGATGAAATGCTTCTTAACCAACTTTTTCATTTTTATTTTTAAAAAAAAAAGGTTCTATGTAACACACCAACTCATTTCTTTTCATTTTAGTAACGATGCGTCAGTTCGATCATCCTCACATCGTGAAGCTCATTGGAGTTATTACAGAAAACCCAGTTTGGATAATCATGGAGCTCTGTACACTTGGAGAGGTACAAAAATCCTCACGCGGCAGCAGCCTTCTCTCTTCCAAGCTCACAGATACTTTTACAAAAGGCTGAAAAAAAATCTTTTCTCAGTACTGACTCAAACATGATATCATCCTCGTTTGTAGAATTACAGACTCGGAAACAGGAGCAGCAGAACTGGATCTAACTCCTCCACTGAGGGAGCTCATACCAAAGTGATTTAGTCATAGTTTTTAGAGGATTCAGTTGCTGTTGCTGAGGGAGAGCAGGACCTGTGTCAGCATCCTGTGATTCTGTGTTTCTAAGATGATGATAACGCGCTTGCAGACATACCTTCTAGAAGTGAAATCATGTGGTACCTCTTTTCTTGGTCGTTAGTAATACTGCATTTTCCCTCGTAACACTGAATTTCTTCTGTGGTTTTTTTTCTTCTCTGCAGTAGAGACCCTACTTTCGTCATTATTATGTATTTTGGATGAATCTTTTAAACAAAACTAGATCTTGGGTTTTATAATTTATTTTTTGAGCCACATGTTGCTCAATGTGAGCTGAAGTAACATTTTACACTGCATTGTAAGATAGTTATCATAATTATCAAAGTGCAATGTGATGTCCAAGAAAAAAAAAATAGGCAGGAAAACCTGTAGTGGAGAAGTCATTTTTCTGACAGAAATTGCACATTTTCTTCCTGGTGCCCAAATCACTTTTCAGAGCCATGTTTTAATTTAAAAGGAGACTCTAGCGCCACCTTCCATTAGGTCCTGACTGCTTTATACTGGGAATACAGCTTTTAAAAATTCTCTGTTGATGTTGGCTACCCTGAGCTAAATCCAGTTCTTTTTGCAAATGTAGGTTAAAATTAACACTTCCAAAACGATACTGATCTAATCGGGGTTCATGTTGGCCACTTAACTGTTTTGTTCTGAAATTATTTAGGCCCAAAACGTTCACGGTTCTTGAGGGACGAATACATAAAAAGTCCAGGAGTACTTGACATATGCTCTCCATCTTGCAAAGGAGCCTGAAAGCAATGCACAAATCTGTTTGTTTGGTTTGGCTAGCAATTTTCCTGTAGAAAATTCTTATCCAGCCTTAAGGGAAGGCATGCCCCGTGATACTCGTGCAAACTTTACGATTTGAGATACGCCTCGTTGAAATGTCTTGGGGTTTTTTGTTACAACTTATGTCCTTTTTTTTCCTTCTTTATGTCAAAAGTTGAGATCGTTTTTGCAAGTAAGAAAATACAGCTTGGATCTGGCCTCTTTGATACTCTACGCTTACCAGCTTAGCACGGCTCTTGCCTACTTAGAGAGCAAAAGATTTGTACATAGGTAAGATTTTATACATATGTATGTGTATGTGTGGGGTTTTGTATGCAACTACTTGAAATTTTAGGGAATACGAGGTTCTAAATTACCAGACTGTTGACTGGCAGTATCCTGGCTCGAGCAAAGACAAACATGACGCCCAGTTGGATTTTTTGAAGTCTTCCTTGTGTGTTCCTTTTCCATACGATGAACGTGTAGCAGTAATACCCCTAAAATCTATTTCCCTGTATTATGTCAGTCGCAATGTGATTTTTTTCAGGGCTGCCACCAAATTCCACCCTTTTCAAGAGTGACACCTGCTGGTCTGCTCCGAGGTTGACTCGGAGATGGTGCCGGCTTTTAATCAGAATAGACTTCAACTGAGTTGTTGCTTTGTGGTTGCAATGGTTTTTAAAGCATTTAAAGCAACAGAGAAGAGCAAAACAGGGTAGCCAGCTTCTTAAGTAAAGATCTGGGAAAAGAAAGTATTTATAAAATACAAGTCCTTGCTTAAACAGAAAGTGAATCTAAATATCCTTGTAGGTTTGTTTTGAATTTTATTCCCTTGAACATGAACTTTCTAGGGAAAAGGGACTGGCTTTAGCCTCTTGTTTTATGCGGTTAAAAGTTCACAGCACTTCCCATTGTCACATGCCATTTCTTTTTGAACTTGAGCATTTCATTTGTGTTTACTTACGTTCAAATTCTGTCCTGTATATATTGTAGGTACAAACGCATGTACCTGGGTGTTAGGTATACAGATATACACAGTTATGTGTATAAAAGCATTGTAAAGAACAGACCCCTATGATTCTTACAGATACTTGGAATTCTGGCCAAGGAGCTTTTTTATTTTAGCTCTTAACAATAAAATCTCAGAATGCAGCTTTTTCATACCATGCTGAAATGGGAGAAGGTAGCAGCTCTCAGTTTGCCGTACTTATTTAAAGCTAAAGCTGTCAATACTTAAGTCAAACCTGCTGAAATCCAGAATTGTCAGACACAGAAGGTGGATTTTCTCACCTGGAAGACTGCAAGAGAAAGATGCCCAAGTCTGTGGGTAATCCCTGCGGCATCACTGAGAACTGAGCTCTTAACGGAACCCACATCTTAAACCAGTTCCTTACTTTCTCAGGGTCGGGAGACAGGTTTCCTTCTTTCTTCTTTCCATCAATTCTCATAGCCAAAAAAAGGATTGGCCTGTGATATTTAAACAGATGGAAATAGAAGTTTTTCCTCTGTTGTTGACATTGACGGGTAACACTTTCAGATGACAGTTACTGTTCACAAGGGCATGTAGTCTTAGGACATGGGATAATGGCTTTAAACTGAAAGAGGGCAGATTTATATTAGATATTAGGAAGAAATTCTTTTCTGTGGGGCACAGGTTGCCCAGAGAAGCTGTGGGTGCCTCATGCCTGGAAGTGTCCAAGGCCAGGTTGGACGGGGCTTTGAGTAACCTGGTCTGGTGGGAGGGTGCCAAGGCAGGAAGGTTGGAACTAGATGACCTTTAAGGTCCCTTCCAACCCAAACCGTTCGATGATTCTGTGATTACTTTTAGGTACTGCTCCGTTTCTGCAAGCTTCTCGGTATCAGGAGAAAAATATGTTGTTGGTTTTTTCTGCACATGCACACCCAAACAATGGCTGGAAAAATAATTCAGTCCTGTCAAAGACTTTTGATACTTCCGGGTTTTAATATTTTTCTTCAAATGATTTTTCATCACTTTAAGTTTTTCAATGACTAGAAGTAACGTCTCCTCTGTTTGGCAGGGATATTGCTGCTAGAAACGTGCTGGTATCTGCCACTGACTGTGTGAAATTAGGTGACTTTGGTTTATCCCGATACATGGAAGACAGTACTTACTATAAAGGTAAGTTGACACTCTGGATCCTTCTTGCAGGCCAATTTAGAACACAGTTACTTCTCACAACACTAAATTTCTTATCGAAAGGAATTAACCAGATATTCTTGACCTAGCTGTCTTATTTGTATAAAGAGGCGAATTATTCAAAAACTTAATAGATGGCAGTAATTCCCTACATGTCTGCCTAACATTTGGGTTGCATACAAGCGGGAAGTTCATGTGCAGTTAAAATTTTGCTTTCTAGGACTAGTTTATAGTGCCTTCGTCAACGATTTTTTGGGGATGAGCCACAATTGAGGCACGTTGGAGATAATATTCATGGCCTAGTATAGACAGTCTCCAGTGAGTTCAAGGTTACCTACAGATGAGTTTGCGCTCTCTTTGTACGTGGCATACTTCAGGTGCCACTGGGCTAGGGAGACTGAGTACAAAAAAGTCTTTGAAGCCTATTTTTTCTCCCATTTTGGATGGAATGCCAATTTAAAGTGGCTCCGGCAACTGTGAGATGTCCTGCAGTTCCTGATAGATGGGAAATAGAGCAAAATAGAGATTGCATGTAGGGTACCCGACAGTAGCGTCTTAAATCTGGTCTATTTTACGAAATCATGTATTAATAAATCTAATCTTCAGTATATTCCTAATTGCAGTCCTGTATTTTAAAAGATCTATTATCTCTCTCCTTACAGTCCATTATGTTTCGTCATTTAATTTGTCTCGTATCACTGTGAGCTACGTATTTTAATCGCTGAGCGGACACATGATCGTTTCTTGTTTTGCTTTTAGGGTTTGTTGTTGGGGCCTTTACTGGGAGGTTTGGGGCATTACTTTGTTATTCCGTTCATTATTTTTTCTGTTTTGTGTAAGACCAAACAAGCTATCTGGGGGTTTTTTATGGACCATTTGGAAACACCTACTCCCTTGCTGAGATTTTATGAGTTTCAGATGTGGTGCCAGTATCTTCTTAACTGCAATAATTGCATCTTTAAATAAGAAATAACTTAAAACTCGAAGGAGCTCAGTTAATCTGAATATTTAGGCAAAGAGAGGACAACCAGCAAACTGGTCAGACGGTGCAGAAATCTCCTACAAAATTTAGTAGTTGAAGTGCTTCACCAGAGATGGGTTTTGCCTACAAATTACTCCACTGAGAACAAAATCTAGGTCGGAGCTCAGCAGTAATAAAAAAATAAAAGTCTTCCTTGTCTTGCCTTCCCTGTAGCTTCCAAAGGAAAATTGCCAATCAAATGGATGGCTCCCGAGTCAATCAACTTCCGACGGTTTACCTCAGCTAGCGATGTGTGGATGTTTGGTAAGCAAATACCGCTTGGTGGGGTTTCTCAGGTGTCCCATTGGAGGGCTTTGCTCTTTAACTACGGTAAATTAATCATTTCCAGATATTTGGTGTGATTTTTCTCTGAAAATCTGGTTTCTTCCAGTACATTTTCCATCTCTGTATTTTTCCTTCTTTTTTTGACTCAGTAAGCCTGAAGTTTCATGTGCCTTTCTGCCCTTAGTAAGAAGCTGGCAGAAATGAAGGTACGAGGAATTAAGTCGTAGTCATAACGGAGATAATTTTTTTTACTATAATTTTTCCCTCTGGTTTCTTTCTGCTATACTTATTTTATATTTTCACTTTTTGCTTTATAGTGGTAGCCTGCTTCATTCCTTAATGCATATATGAGCCTACGTGATGTCTTGTTTCGAGATCTTTAATGCTAGATTCCCACTTAACTTGTCTTTCATATCTCCTGCTAGCCTACAAAATATGACTATAAGCTGGGCAAAAATAAGGGTACATAACAAGGCTTTTATTTTTTTTTTACGAACCTGATCACCTGTGCTCAGAGTGGCCCAGTTGCTTTGTCTGGACAGACAGAACAAAGATATGCTGTGTACAGGAACGAAGATGCTGAGACTTGAAATAAGAGCAGGGCAGTCAAGTAAGAGTTCACCCTCTTTTCAGAATAAAATTTGAATTTTCTTAAGTATATGTGAGTTCTAGCAGGTTTATAATAGTTCAAGGAAAACTCCGGTACAGTCAGAGTTAGAAGAATGAAGTCTGTGGAACATTCTTGACAGACAGTTTTTCCCTTTGTACTTTCAACGTAGTTTCAGCAGAAACTGTTTTATTACGTAGTTTTGGCACAAAAAATTTGGGTCTGTGCCAGCGTTAAAACACCCTCAAAGTTGAAAACGCGCTCTACGTGTCGAAACAAGCCTTTTGGAACTAGACGAAGGGAAAAGCAAACACAGCTCATTCTACCTCATAAAAAAAAGTAGATTTGAATATGAGCAACCATTCCGATGTCCGATAGGTAAGAGGTAGTTCCCGGGGAAGGCAGCCAGGCTGCTGTGAGCCAGCTGTGGGTCATGCTTCCTCATAAATAGCTCAGCCGATACCGCGTGTGTAATCCTGCCGCACATCGCTCCTCTCTGCTGCTGGCCGGTAAGTCAAAACCATTCCCCCAGCTCTGCCTTTCAGAAGAAATTGTGTTGTTGGGCCGTACAAATTTGTGCTTTCTCTCCCTCGTTTTGACGCGGTCGGTTGCTCGCTCACACCGGGGGAATTCTCTGTGTGTGTGTCTCCTCAGGTGTGTGCATGTGGGAGATCCTAATGCACGGGGTAAAGCCCTTCCAGGGAGTGAAGAACAATGATGTGATTGGGCGGATTGAGAACGGTGAGCGGCTCCCAATGCCTCCCAACTGCCCTCCTACCCTCTACAGCCTTATGACCAAGTGCTGGGCGTACGACCCTAGCAGACGACCCAGGTTTACTGAACTTAAAGCACAACTCAGGTAGGGTTATTCTTCCGCAAGGTCCTTTCCTTGTTCGGAAATATTTATTTTGCGCTGTATCTTCTGTTAACGGTGTTTGCTTTCTGTGGAAAAGGCAAGACGTAGCGTATTGAGTTTTATCTTCAAAAGGGCAGGTTGATGCTGCTCTTTTGGAAATCTAGACCTTATCCGTTATAGAAAGTTAGACCAGGCAAGAGATTGACATAGCTGGAAGCATGAATCACTTTCTTTTCAGCCAAAACTGTTCCATGATTCTCCCAACAAAAACTTCGTATTTTTACTAGCAAGTTTTTTACACTTTTAGCTAGGTGTGCTACAGTCCTTGGGGAGGGGGGGTGGAAAGAATTTGGGGTTATTACCTAGTCAAACATACAGTGGACAGTTTTGGGGTAGAAGTGTTTCCTGTCTTAAATACCTGAACCATCAAGTGAGCGCTGTTGGAAGTTACTTTCCTAACACTTGTAGCACGCTAGTTGCCCTGTGGCAGCTTTGTCTGAGAAGTTGTGGAGCCTGCAATGAGTCATGAACTAGGAACTGGAACTAGAAACTCCTTTTGCCTTTTGTAAACCAGGACGTAGACTACCTTATGTTTATCTTGGAATGAATGTGAGCACAGACTTTTGTGACCAGTCCAAATTCACACCCTAGTTAATTCTGCAATAATTTGTTCCGGTGCTCATATCTTTATTTCACCAGCCACAAAATGGGAGTAATATTTAAACTTTGGAACACCACTGAGCTATTGTGCAGACACATTTGATATCTGTGACCACTCTGGGATTTTTTGAGGGCTTGGTATCTATTTTACCTAAGTCAATATAAGCTTAAAACGGTAGGTAGGTGTTGTACGCTCTAAATCCACTCTTGGATTTGTTGTAACGCATTGCTAAATCCTTCTGATTTATCTCACTTCGAAGTTGTTCTTTGTGGCATGTTTTATTTTCATGACATCATTTTGTTCTGTCACTGGATGTTCACGACACAAGATAATTTATATGTGGTTAAAATAAGGTACAGTTTTAATATCATTATGGTGCTGTTTGGATATGCTCTATGGATAACTTAGCTATCTTTAAGGTTTTTCCTGGGTCTTAAAATTGTATTCGGTTCCACCATCGATTACACTGAGAACTCCTGTGTAGACTAATAATTTACATAGCTGGGGGAAGACATAGCCTTTCTCACAAATAACTTTTCATCCTACTGACTGTGTGGAGTTAACCACAAAGGAAAGAGGGATGGGGCTGGCAAGGAAAAAATACAATGCGGTTGTGTAATAGGTGGAAATCAGCAATTCACTTGCTTTTTCTTTTTTTTTTTTGCACTCTGGCAGAATAGGATTCTTTTTGGTTTGCAATCTGATAACTTAGAGCTGACTGGCACACAAGTGAATGAAGCCCTAAAGAAACATGACTGGGAGGATGATTGTGGTGTGTAAACCCAGGCAGGGAGAGTATCTCACCAGCAAAGGAAGAGGATGAGTAAATCCAGAGTCAAAGTAATTGTGTCAGAGGGTGAAAAAAGCAATGAGTGCCCAAGAGCCTGGCTCTCCTCAGAAATGCGCAGCCAAAGGGAGAGAACCAGCGCTCAGACACGCAGCAAGGCAAATTGTCATTAGCTGCAAAACAAAATGTTTCCCAGTGTGTGTGATTGAGCTCTGAAACAGGTGGCTCAGAAAGAGTCTGGAATTTCCGTGCTGGGAGACTTTCAAACCTTGACTGGAAAAGGCTCCGAGCGTCCTGTCCTTGCCGTGCTTGGAGCTCAGCTTTACCAGGAGTTTGGACTCAAGACCTCCAGGAATCCCTTCTAACCTAAACCGATTCCCTGGTTGTAAGTCAAAAATGCACCAAGAGGGATGTTTTTGCCTCCTTTAGTCATGCTAGGAGATTTGGAGTATTGTTTAGAGGACTACCTCTCTCCTGGGGCCACAGCAAAATCCCATTTTCACTCTCTTCTCATCAAAGCAGAGAATTTTCTCCCGCTCCAAACTGGTGACCTTTACCTCCTGAAAGTTGGGCAGCTCGGTTGTCCTTAGGGCTTCTTTGCGCTGCTTGCAGACGGAGACAGCCTCTCGTTGGAAAGCTTGCCAGTTCCCTTATGATGAGGCAATGTCAGGCAGCTAGGAAGGATCATGTTTCAAAACTCAAATTCCCATGAACTTGAAAAAACAAGCCATTTCCCTGGTGGCCTTTCCTGTGTGGTGTTGCTGCTGCTCGTTCTGGATCCTGTCCAGGATAGTCTTTCCAAGCTGAGAGCAGACAAATTCGTTGCTTGAAGCCAGTAATACAGCACCGCAGCATTCCTCTCTCTCTGTGTTAATGAGAAAAAGTCCACAGCTTTGGGAAAAAAACTTTTTTTCTGTATCAAAAATAGCACTGATGCTGATGGTAGCATAAGCACTTTATGTATTCCTTGATATTTTATAGCATCTGATATCTCCAAATGAATAGGGATTAGTGTTAGTGTCCAGAGCAAACGCAGAAACAAATGGATGTATTGTGGATTTCCACATTTAATTCCTTCTCGCATCCTGGGTACCTTTTTCAATTTCGAAGGGTGGTAGAAATACGAATAAGTCATGAAAGTGTGGTGCTGCTACCCTGCTACTAAAGCAATTCTGTCACTACCTGGACCAGAATTAGAATCCATGGTATTTTTTATCAGGAAGTGTGTGTTGCCTTGCTATTTTATGTAGAAGAGATTTTTATTCTTGCACTATGTGGTAAATAATAGAAGAGGCCCTTAGCTAAATACCCAAATCACAGGATAACACTTTTACAGCATTTCGGACTTCTTCGTCCAAGAAAAAAAAGGAGAGTAATTGTTGTGGGAGACTCCCTTCTGAGGGGAACAGAGGGTCCTATCTGCCACCCGGATCCAAGCCACAGGGAGGTCTGCTGCCTCCCTGGGCCCAGGTTAAGGATGTTATTAAGAAGCTTCCAGGTCTGATTAAACCCTCTGATTATTACCCGCTTGTGGTTATGCAGATGGGTAATGATGAGATAGCAGAGAGACAGCCAGAAGCAGTCAAAAGGGACTTTAGGGCACTGGGACGGTTGCTTGAAGGATCAGGTGCACAGGTTGTGTTTGCCTCCATTCCTTCAATTACGAGGAAAAATAGTGGGAGGTTCAACAAAGTGAAGCACATTAATACTTGGCTAAAAGGGTGGTGCCAGCAGTCTAGCTTTGGGGTTTTTAACCATGGGGAGATCTACAGGTCACCTGGTCTGCTAAAACCAGATGGGGTTCACATGACGCAAAGGGGAAAAAGGATCCTCGGTCATGAGCTGGCGGCGCTCACAGAGCGTTCTTTAAACTTGATATGAAGGGGGAAGGGGTTACAACCAGATCAAATGAAAACGGCCCTGGGATACACACAGTGACATCAGAAGCAGAGTCACTAGCGCAGGTGAAGTACAGCTCTACTTTATTGGGGGCTCCAGGGACCTTATGAGGGGCCCAACTCAAATGCCTTTATATGACTACCCGCAGCTTGGGCAATAAACAAGAGGAGCTGGAGATGTTTGTGAGCCTGCAGTGCTATGGCCAGATCGGCATCAGAGGGACATGGTGGAACGACTCCTGCGATTGGTGTGTGTGACTAAAGGGGTATAAACTGTTCAGGAAGGACAGGCAGGGGAAACGAGGAGGGGATGTTGCCCTCTATGTCAATAAAAGGCTAGAATGCATGGAGCTCCACCTGGCAAGTGATGATGAAAGAATCGAGTGCCTGTGGGCCAGGGTGAAAGGAAGGGGAGGAGACTTTACAGTGGGGATGTGCTACAAACCACCCAATCGGGAGGACAAAGTGGATGAGGCCCTTCATAAGCAGACAGGAGTTGTTGCTCGTTCACAAGCCCTGGTCCTCATGAGGATTTTAATCACCCCGACATCAACTGGAAAAACAATACGGCAGGGAACAAGCAATCCAGGAGATTCCTGGAATGCATTGATGACAACTTCCACTTCCTTATCCAAGTGATAGAGGAACCAACGAGGAGAGATGCCATGTTGGACCTCGTTCTCATCAATAGGGAATGGCTGGTGGGAAATGTTAAACTCATGGGTAGCCTTGGCTGCAGTGACCATGAGATAGTGGAGTTTGAGATCCCAAGGGCAGCTAAGAGGGGGAAGCTCAGCAAGCTTGAAACCCTTGATTTCAGAAGAGCTGACTTTCACCTTGGTAGTGTGCCCTGGGATAAAGCCCTGGAGGGACTGG